ATTGTGACTATTTTTATTTTAAATATTTTACAATATTTATTTTAATAAAGTATGTTGTTATTGTATAAAATACTTAATATTATTAATCACTTAGAATATAATCCAAGCTACAAATATCATGTTATCTAATACCCAGTAATCTCTTTTGGCATCATGTGTTTTTTTGATTCTAAAAAAAGATTAAAAGAATTTTTTATTCAGTTCGTATTATTTAAGCTCTATTTAATAAAGAATCATACATTTTTTTTTTATTTTCATGTCTTTCACTATGTGGGTTAGAAATGGTTAAGATTCTTATAATCACTATACATATTACAGACAACATTTAATTTTTATTAAATTAAAAAGAATCATTATTATTGTAGGTAATAAAAGAATATTAATGTTTATTGCGTTAAATCGTGAATGCACATTTATGATAAACAATAAGTAAAGTCGTTGGTAATAGGGGATGTCCAATTTTGTTAGTTTTCTTCATATTGCCTAACTCCACGATTGGCATTTTACATAATATCTAGGCAAAGCTCGTATTATGTATATTGCCGAGTGATTTTTGGCATTTTGTATAATACCTAGGCATTTTGAAAAATACCGGATTATCCATATTGCCGGTAACATATCTATATAAATACGTCTAGAATGGTTTGGCCATGTCTGGTGAGTAGTGGTATGGTAGTCTTGGTCTTGTACTTCAAGTCTTGCATTATTTAAAATTTAAAGAAAAAATTATATACCTATCTAGACCAGAAGCTTGTAGAATTTGATAACTGTTTACTATCACCAAGATACAACTAAATTAGTACAATATATATATGTACATAATTCAACTTGCCACGAATCTGATTTTGACTACTGGTGATTTAAAAAAAGTCAATAAATTTACTGTTAGATAAACTAATTTTAATAAATATTATAATAATTTTGTTATAGTTACTGCCGCAAACAGAAGTATACGAGTCACTAATACCACGACATTCGACACAATAAACCATTTTACAGTATAGTTATTAGTATAAAATTTAATGGAAAGATTTATTTACGGACTTAAATTAATATTACTATTTATAAATATACTGTATTGCCTGTATCGGTGATTTTGGTGTTATTATATGTTTTTTTGTTCACGTATCATCATTTGTGTCATATTCGGCAGCTTAAAATTATCCCATTATGTTTCTGTAATTTATATTTGTAATACTACTTTATAGTGAATATCATATCCAATTGTTTCTATTTTATTATTTTTTCTATTTTATCTTTAAACTCGATATAATATATAAAACATAGTTTATGATAAAAGAACTTGTCAAACTTCCAAAATAAACTAATATAACCGGCCAGTGGCGCCCATAGATTTTCCATGAACCAGTTCATGGAAATTAATAAATTAATAAAAAATAAAATAATATATATAATATAATTAATAAATAAATAAATTTATTTATTTAACATTCATTTCTCCTGCCTGATATGCTGCAATAAGATTAAGTAAAAATGCTTTAACTTCATAAAATTATGGTAATTCTTTTTTATTATATTGAAGTTGCCACTCCATCACCATGGCACTATCCAAGCGACTGCAAATGAGTGTGACTAATCATGCGTCCCAAGAATCTATAGGTTGTCATAATGCTCTGAGCGCATTGACATTAGACATGACGTGATGTTGTAATTTTTCTAAATTTGTTGCCAATGTTATTTATTTATTTATTTTACATTATAAACGGGTAGATACCCTTTGGTATTAATAGTACAGAAAGTGTATTATGTTTTAATATGACACTAAGTTACAATATAAGAGTTAACAATAATTATGATAGTAATGATATGAGTATGAATACAATAAAATAAAATAGTAATAAAAGTGAATAATAATTAATTAACAATTTATGACATGAATTAATTTATAAACATTCAATGATATACAATTTGGTAAACAGATAATAACATAATTCAACTTTAATATTCGCATTAATCTTAATAATAATAATAATAATAATAATAATAATAAACATGGTATTTAATTTGTTGCTAGATTTAAACCTAAGTATACATTTTTTTTAAATAAATCACGTGACATAAAGAAGAAATCTATGTGATCGGCTATAACATTACATAATGAGAGAGCTCTAGGGAAAAAAGATGCGGAACTGTAGTTGTTTTTATAAAATGGTACATGGAACAGATTCGATTTTCTTAAGTAACGACTTGGTGTTATAAAACCAATCATAGAAAGCAATTCCGGGGAATCAATAAGACCGTTCAGTAAATCAAATATGAACATAATATCTGCAACATTCCTTCTTAGTTCAGTACTTGTAAATCCAAAAACCGAGTATTGCAAACTGGTGGAAGTAGGTATATTCAATTTATAACATATAAGTTTTAAACATTTATTCTGAACTTTTTCAATCGCCTCTTTATATGAAGAATAACTAGGAGACCAGACTACAGAGCCAAACTCGAGATGAGATCTGACAAGAGAAAAGAATAATGTTTTAAATGTATAAAGATTTTTAAAATTGTTCATACTTCTATTAATGAACCCTAACATTTTGAAGGCTTTTTTTAATTATAGTATTTATATGTATAGAAAAGGACATATTGCTTTCGATAACAATTCTTAGGTCTCTAACAGAATTGATACGCGTTAAGACACAGTTATCAATTTTATAATTATAAGAAATTGCATTATCCAATCGAGAAAAAGTAATAACACTACATTTACTTAAATTTAAGGGTAGGCGATTATGACGGCTCCAAATTGCAAACCTATCCAAATTTGATTGTAAATTTAAAGTATCTTCAGGAGATCTAACTATTGAGAATATCTTTACATCGTCAGCAAATAAGAGAACTTCGACTAAGCTATCAAATATGGAAGGTAGATCATTTATAAATAATATAAATAAGAGGGGGCCCAGATGAGAACCTTGAGGCACTCCAGAGGTAACAAAAAAGTCGTTTGAAATATTAAAAGATACTTTTACAGCCTGAGTGCGAGAGCTAATATAAGATTTTATCCAATCTAAAAAACTACCATGGATGCCGAATAAAAATAATTTATTTAGAAGTAGGCTGTAGTTTATTTTATCAAATGCTTTTTGGAAATCAGTATAAATTGAGTCTAATTGGGCATGGGTATTAAGGGAATCAAGTATCTTAGACTGGAAAAGTAACATGTTAGTCGAAATCGACATTTTTGGTCTAAATCCATGTTGGTTTTTACATATGTATGGAGATTTTATTTTGGTTAATTTTTTAGTTATGATTGCTTCAAATATTTTAGGTATATGAGATAATTTAGAAATCGGCCTATAATTTGAAACATTATGTTTATCCCCTGATTTATGTATTGGTGTGATAAAAGATTTTTTCCATATATTAGGGAAATAACCTAAACTTAAAGATTTATTAAAAATTAAATAAAGTGGCTTAATTAATTCAAAACTACACAATTTTAGAAATATTGATGGAACACCATCAGGGCCTGTACTCGCATTTATATCTAAATCATTTAAAAATTCATGAATTTCATTTTAATCAATAATCCAGGAGCTTAAATCAACATTTATATTGTTCATTGAAGCCACATTTGATATTATTTGGGACTCTTCGTTAAAGTTTGTTGAATCAGAAACAAAAACACAAGAAAAGTAGTTAGCAAATAATTGAACTGTTTCAGAGATATTTGAAGATGAGTGATTATGATATTTAACGCAATCTGGTACAACATTGTTAGTTTTTTTCAGTGAGTTAATATATTTCCAGAAAGGTTTAATACTTGTTTGGATGCTGTTTTCTAAATTTGTAATATGTTGTGTATGGCAGAAAGACGCTAACTGTTTGCACTTCTTACGAATGTTCGAGAATATAAGATAATCTTGTTGGGAATGACTAATTTTAAATTTTTTATGAGCACATTTCTTATCAATAATGAGTTTTCTGAGCTCAGCATTTGCCCAAACAGGAGAAAAATTATTAAATATTTTTGTTTTGGGTACATGTAAAGAAAATGTATGATAAATTATTTCATAAAACTTACTTATTTGAGCATCAAATGATAAATTATTATTTAGGTTAAGTTCAAAATCGATTTTAGATAGAAAGAGGGAAATTTCATTAAAATTGCAATTTTTAAAATTATATACAAGTGGAAATTCATAAGAATTATGTAAAGAGGAATCCGTAAATTTTATATATAATTCTAAAGGAGGATGATGATCATCAATTATTGGTACAACGGATTCGGAGGAATGGACAATAGAAGTAAGTTCAACATCAGAACTAAGAAATATACAATCAAGAGTACGACCTAAAGAGTTTTTAATACAACTACATTGTTTTAAATTTAAAAGATTTACAAAAGAATTAAATAATAAATTTCCAGGGACATTACCTTGTAAGCTTGGTTCAATGAACCAATCGAAGCTGTTTAAATTAAAATCACCAGTTATAATAAAATGGTAATCTGGATTATTAAAAAATATAGACTCTATTACATCACAATGTTTAGAATACATTTCTATTGTTGCATTAGGTGGTATGTAAACACAGCCTAAGACTATTTTTATTTTGTTGAAAGTAGTTTTTAGAAATATTTGTTCGATTCCAGTTACGAAAGGAACATGTAATAGTTCACAGCATATTTTTTTATTTACAGCAAATTATACACCACCTCCACACAGTTTACCGTACATCAAATTACGATCATCTCTATACAAATTATAGTCATTAAAACCAAGTTCCGCATCAAAAACATTATCATTTAACCATGTTTCATTTAAACAAACTATATCATAATTCACATTTAATAAGGCATTACGTAAAAAATTTAACTTTGTTAAAAGACCACGAACATTTTGAAAAAAAATATTAATTATAAAAAATTTTCATCTCGGAAATTTATTGGACAATTATCTTTTGTAACAATTTTTGGTAATCCTCTCACATATTTAATGATTAAATCAGCTTCACCATTAGTTCTACGAGTCTCCAATTCACAACGAAGTTTTTTCATATAATTTCTTTGATGTAGTGTACGGTCCGATACGAATGATAGAAGGAGGTTGTAATGATAATAATTTTTTCTTAGATTTTAAAATATCAAACGCATAAGCTGGTGAGGCAGGTTTGAGGGCTTTAGGTGTATCAAATAGTGATCTGATGTGAGATTGAATGATCACACTTTTATTATCATATCGGTTCATTAATGTATTGTATGCTTGTAAATAATTTTCACCCGTGGTGGGAATTGACCAAATAACATCACTAGCCTGACCCACAAGATAACCTTTAAGATAGTGAAATTTCTGAACAGGAGCAAGATTCTCATGGTTATGGAATACAATATTAAAGCTATCAATAAATGATGTCCAACATTGCCAATCACCATCAAATTTTGGAATCTCCACTGGTGGTAACCTCATTATATTTTCAGTCTTGTATTTGGTAAGCTCACTTATAGTGAGCTTATAGTAAAGACTACTTGATGGATTATTTGAGTTAGCATCTATCAGCTGCATTAATAATGCTTTAGCATGGTATAATTTATTTTTAAAATCTATATATTCATTACATTGCTGATCATCGTCCTCCGAAACATCAAGTTCTTCAATCTCAGTGTGAGCCATTACATATTTTTCAGATAAAGTAATTATTGCTTCCAACCAACGTACTTTATTTAAGTTACTAGGTTAGCATCATACTGGGTGCCGAAAAGTGTTGTAGAAAGTTCAAGGTTAACTTGATTTAACTTCTTCTTGGCCAGTTTTAACTTCTTTGCAGTTGCCATCTCCATTGTTGTATACAAATTATAGGAATGCACTAAGTGCTTATCTCACAATAAAAATAAAAATAATAAAACACACAAATCAATTAAAAGTACAAACAAGTTTGATATTTTTTTTATTGAAAGTAAACAATTAAATACATTTTTATAATAGAAAATTCAATATCCGGCCCGAAGGATCAAATGACGGGTGCCGCAAGTGCCAAACAATATTAGAGGGCTGTCTTGTTCATCTTAATAATAAAAACAATGACTAGTAGAAAAATTAATACAAATAAATAAATATAAATTGGTAGTGGACTGTATAATTGAAAACCAAATAATAATAATTATTGCCAATTGGGCACAGTAAACAAAAAAAATAACACAATAATAATGCTGAAGGTTGGCCCAACAGTGGCGAAACTAAAAATATATAAAAAATATATAAATAAATCAATCAAAATGTATGGCCCAACACGGCTCACACTAAACAATAAATAATCAAAATTTGTGGCCCACACTAAATATAAAAATAATTAATACAATAAATGCAAGTGTTGGCCCTACAGCCACACAACAAAATATAATAAGTTATTATTATATTTAAATATATTTTAAATATGTTTATTATTCTATATCAGTTATCAGTATTCTCACTAATCACTTACCACAGGCCACAAACCACACTCACTACCACCAGCACCAATTTTCATTTACCAAACCCAAATCTTCAAAGAATCTAACCAGTAACCACTAATCTGAAAACCTGTAGGCTGTAACCATATGGAAATATGAAATATGAATTACGAAAAAAAAAAAATTACTCGTTAAGTGGTAAAGTAATTTATATTTATTACTTTACCGATAAATTACTTACTTTAAAATACTTTACCAAAATAATATTACCGACTTACATAAGCGTGCACAGAATTCCTGGCAGGATAGTCATATTTAACACATTACACACACATATACATATTACGTATATATTCATAGTCACATCTAAGTTATAAAATGACTATCAATTATCATAATAATAAATAATAATATTGAATATTGTGAGAGGAAAGTTTGCAGAGTAGTCAAGTGCCTACCATGACTATCCCGTGCGCACGCTTATGCCGACTTACATCATTAACTATAACTATTATGTTTATGGAAGGTTACATTGTAGAGAAGATACTTCTCTAAACAAAGGAGTAAACGAATGGCTTATCTATGTTTCAAAATGCTTGATAACGGTTATGGCCGTTATTATGGAATCACTAGTATTCAAAATTGTATAGGAAGCTATATGGTGTGTACACAATTTCTCACGTCTCAGTCCCGATTAAGTTTTAGAAATGAAACGCAAATGAAATTAAATTGTTATTATTGTGTTTTTTTATTCTAATATGTCTTAAATATTGATAAATTAAAAATATTCGAATTATTGTCTTTCAATATTAAACAGGTTAAGGTAAATTATTCAGTTATGACTTACAAATGAAATGAAAAATCCATACTTATATTGATTATAATCATTATTTTAAATTTAATATAAAACAAATATCCACATTTTAAACTCATTTAAAGTAGGTACTTAATATTTTTAAATTTTTATTTAATTTTGAAAATTCAAATGGATTGTTTATTATAAGTTTTATCCAAATATTAGATTTGAAGTATGAAGGTGCAGCAAGTGACCAACAATATTAGAGGGCTGTCTTGTTCACCTTTATAATAAAAACAATGACTAGCAGAAAAATAAATACAAATAAATAAATATAAATTGGTAGTGGACTATATAATTGAAAACCAAATAATAATAATTATTGCCAATTGGGCACAACAAAATATAATAATAATGACAATGTGTGGCCCAACACGGCTTACACTAATAAATAAATAAATCAAAATCTATCAACAAAATGAAACTTTTGGCCACGAGATCCGTCGATCTTCACACAATAAAAAATGGTGGTGCACCACCTACCTTGCACAGTTATGATGTGCTGCAATGCTGAAATCCGTAATTAATAATAACAATTAATACCATAAAAAATACAAGGGATTCCGCACACTACAACACACCGCTAACTGCACCCCGAAGAACAATTCACACACAGCTGCTGTAACCGGACCATACGAAACTATATACCACGTTTAAACACTAAACAATGCAGTCAATGGTAACAGACTGAACACTCTAGAGGGACAAACCGAATTAATGAAAGACAAATATTCTGCGTGATAGTTACCTATGATTGATTCACAAAAAGACCGATAAGACAAAAACATCGTGGTATAACAAAAATAGCTGCAAATAGGAACAGAGTGATAACGGGTATTCAAACTACGACGGACACGAACAGAGAGAGTGATGGCGCCGACACATTCACCCACATTCACCACGAAGGCTAAGGCCGCCGGACACCCCAATGAAGATAAAATGCCTCAGTGCCACCACACTAAACCAAAAAACACGAGAACTTACGAAACTTTGTGGCACTGAGAACATGACTTGAAACTTATATTGAAACATAACCGAAAAAACTCAGAAACGTGGAATAACGAATTTTCACGGGCGACGATAACAGCGCGATTACGTACCCGGCCGGTCGAACACGGAGGCTTATCACCGCCGCCGCCGACGATGACTGCGGATACGTAACGCACCGCTATGCATCGCACGAAAATAGTAACACTCATTACAAACTAAAAACTACTGTAGCACTAAATAAAGTACGTAAATTCAAATTAATTTTTTTCAGTTTGATATTTATTTATTTTGATATCCTATTTCCATATGATATAATTAATAAAATTATTATTTAGCTGGTAGATTAAACTTTATGACATAAATATTGTGATTTTATTAAAAAAAAATCTGAGTGGAGAATATTGTATTAATTAAGTAAGTAGTTAATAAAATTAATATTACCTCAAATACAATTAAAATACAAATTTGCATGTTGTTAATGCCTGGTGCAGCAGCAGAACTAATGTTTCACTATCAGTATACTTAAAATAAATTTAAAATTTTAAGATTTAGTGGTGGATTTAAATTTATTTGATTCAAAAAAATAAATATTCAAATTAATTTTGCTTCATAATACGTCTTCAAAAATGTACTCTACATTAAAAATTCTTACCAAAATTCTCTTGTTGATATTAAAATAAAATATTTAGTACATTATAACATACATATGAATATATTTTATTTTCATGTACTTTAAGTAAAAATCAATAATTTAAAATATAACATAGGTACTTGTTATGTTAATATTTCAATAAATAAAAAAAATATAAGTATTTTATTATAATATATTTAGTAGTAATGATTTAAATTTAATTAAATTACTTTAATATTTATAGCTATTTTATATATATTTTTCAGAGGATGGGTGAATTAAAGCAAATTTACCTTTTAATACAGAGTGATATTTCCAAGGAAAACATAAAAGAAGCTCTTAATACTTATAACACCCATTACAAAAATATTAAGGATATTGAAGGATTTCAAAATTTTACAGTTAGTGTAATTAGTGCATTGGCTCAAAAACTTCAATTTGAATTATCATCTAATAACCAAACTAAACAGTCAAGAATAAATGTTGATTATGTTATTAAATTTGGTGATCGTTGTTTTGAAATGCCTAAATTGTCAGATTTACAACACTTGCAAAATAGTCTATATGTAATTATTAGATATTTACTTTCGTATAATCATGTAATTGAAGCTGTTCGTTTTAGTAATTATTTTTTAAAGTATTCATCTTCTCCTTGTGATATACTGAAGCATCTAGTTCAATTATTTGCACATTTCATACATAATATATGTCCAATTGATGATGATTTGAAAAAATTAAATGTTATTTTGATGTGGGATGCTGCATTGAACTTAGTGAAACATTATACCGAAAAAGAAATAGATTATGCATTATATTCATTAGCAATGCTTGTAAAAAATATAAATGGAAAAATATTACATGAAGGTCGTTCTATGGATTTAGTTATTTTAGATATGACTTTAGAATCGGTTCTATCATCTGTTGATTTTAGAAAAAAGAGTGATCAAGATAATATGATGAATTTATATTCAAAGTTAATTGAAAATATTGTGGCTGTAATGCAAAATATGATGCGTCGTAAACAGATACATGTACATTTTTTAGTCAAACATATTGAATTAATGATTGATGTTTGTTGTTTGACTAAAACTGAAAAAGAAGATCTGTCATTTTTGATTTTATTATTCAAATTTATTGACAATTCAGTGAAAAATGGTCTGGATTCAAATTTTGAAATCAGGAAAATGATTACTATTGTTCAGAAGTATGAACCCTGTACAATACTGCCAAATACTATGTCATATCATGTGATGAAAGCTGCTATAATTACTATTACTAAATTGAAAAACTTATGGTATGATGAATTGATTATTAACTCTCCTGAAACTGTTTCACAAATGTTTCTCCTGTTGCAAAATTTATTTTATTTAAGTAAAAATGGTTCAGTTAGTATGATATGTTGTAAAAGTAAGAATTGTGATCTCTATGAGGATTCAACATCAGAAATGAGTTTAATTAATATTGTATTCATTATGATACGACACATTATTACTACTAATGTTACATTTTTAAATTCAGAAGATATCTTAAAGTGGATGAATTTTTTTACATCTTTATTTAAACGAGTATGTAAATCAAAATGCTTAAATAAAATCCCTTTCATTGAATTTTCTTTAACAAGTGCTTACAATTTGTGTATTCAAAAAAATGTTGGTGAGTTGAGTAATTTATGTATGGATTTTTTGGAAAATATATGTTTATTGCTAGATCCTAGTGGTATTAATCCAGATCTTGTAGCTCGCGTAGCAATTTTATTAAGTCGTTATTTATATAATAATAATAAAAACGATGATGCTTTAAAGTGTATTGCCTATTGGTGTGTTCAAACTCGTTCTGATCTTGCTGCCCAACAATGGGTTTGTCTTAAGTGTAAAGAAGAAAGAAATAATCGTTTTGTGAAACAAACAATTTTGAAAATGTTTGATGATAAATTGCAAAAAAAATGGCCAGTTTGTAGTTTAAAAAAATCTGATTGTATTGAAATAATGTGGTTGGAATTAAAAGCCCATAATTATCAATATAAAGTGAAACAAGACATTACTAGTGTCCTGGAATTGTTTGAAGACTTAATGAGTAATAGTATAGTACCAAAAGAGTTAAAGTGTCGAGTTGTTGTTACTACTGCTCATATAATACTTTATTCAAATAATATAAATGGTTTAGAATCTGTAATTGATGTATTGGAGGACTACATTTGTAAACTAGAAGTAGAAACATCAATGGAGAAAAATAGCATACCATTGGTTATGGGCTGCTTATACTATGCAAGTTTCATATGTTCGTTTAAACATTTACAGAACCGTGTTAGTAAAGAATTAGATTCATTTACAGAAGAGAGATTGGAACGTGGTACAGAGCTACAAAATATTATGCAGTATGAACCTATGGCTTGGATACATCCATTAAAAATTAAACCTAAAATATTTAATTACTTAAATTGTGCAGTTAAGAATTGGTCTAATTTAATTAATGATACAATCAACGATGAGTATTATGTTAAAATTATTTTTGAAAGTCTCCATGAAGCCGCCTTTGTATTCAAATTACATTGTGACCCAAAAGAAGTGGAAGTATGGCAATTATTATATAAATTAGCATCCAATATTAAGTCTCACAAATATATTTTTATAGCCCTTTCAGAATTAATGAAAATTGGTCAAAAAAATGATCAGTCAGATCATTTAGAATTGGATAATTTAGCTAACAAATTACCTAAAATGGCTATTAACTATAAGTTGACATTAGTTACTATTTTCTTAAATCAATCCAAATATAAAGATGCACAAATATTGTTGGACAGTATTGATAAAGAAGAATTAAATAATTATACTATACTAATGGCAGAATATTCTTATCTAAGAAGTCGTTTATGCTTTGAATCAAGAAACTTTAACAATAATAAATGTCTTTCTATATTCATTGAAGCTTACAATCTTGCACATGGTTTAATTAAAAGATTAGATTATTTTTATGAATATTTGGTTATGCATTTTGTAATATTGAGTATATGTTCTTATTTGAATTTAATCTTTGTAAATACTTTAAAACCGGTTGAAGCCCGCTGTTTTTTAAAAGTCCAAATGAAAATAGTCTTAAAGTCTGTTCTCACCAAAAGAGCATTAAATGTATTTATAATGAGTTGCTGGAATGAATTAATGTGTTGCAATTTAGAAAATGTTTATGGACAGCTAGAACATTTAATGATACTACTGGATTTTAAGGAAGATGAATTTGATTCAAAAATACAATCACTTACTATAAGTCACTCTACAAATATTTTGTCTTCTCCATTGTCAGATTATAGGTGTATGTCTAACAATAGAGTGCGTAAAATGGCATCTCCATCCTTAAAACAATTTAATAATCAAAGTGCACAAATGAGTATCACCGAATTTTGTAAAAGTGTTATCAGTGGCGATGTAACTTATGATTCAATAATAGTATGTTCAGTTATTGAAGTATGCATTATTAAAGCTATTTGCTGTTCTATGGCTAACCAACAAAATAAAGCTGAAAATGATTTTAAAATGATTTTTAAATTATTGGAACTTGTTGAACCACAGTTTAATAAAAATGAAGTTTATAATACTTTAACAGCTAGACAAAATTCACTTGCAAAATATCATTATGGAAAACATTTAGTTTTTTTTAATAATTCAACCAAGTCTTTGGATTACATTAAAAAAGCTAAGGAATTGTGCAAGGATAAATGGTTATCATTATATGTAAATGAATTGAGTTTATCACTTAAAATTTATGAAATTATGAGCTATCCTGGTTCAAATATTAGCCATTCCCCTAAAGTAGAATCCCATACGTATAAATACCAGACACCAGCTACTAAAATTCGTGTTAATACAAAGCCACAAGCTCTGCCAAGGTTTGTCACTCCAACGGTTAGGAAATTAAGAATGACATTAGAAAGTCCTAAATCAAGAGAAAATAAAATAAAATCACCTGTAATAAGAGAGTCTGAAAAACTAAAAAAAGATTCAACTTCTAAGAAAAAAATTGGAAAAGAGAATATTATTAAGTCTACAATGAAAGCAGATATTGAAGTAAAAGTTAGAGAGAAAAGAAATACAAGAAAAAAAGAAACAACCGAACAGACATCAACATTAGTTATTAAAAAACGTCCAAACAGACTGAATATTTAAATCTAGTTGTAAATCTGTTTTCTTAAACATTTGTAATTTTGATTGGAAATAATAACTGAAGAATAATATGTAAATTTATAAATATTAGTAATTTAAGTAATTTGTATATTTTTTCATTATTTTATGATATTTCAAATAAAATTTAATTATTACTTTTAAATTTCAATAGAATACATTTTTTAATTAATAATAATTACATGGTTTTGTATAATTGATTACAATTTAATATGTACTCGTATTAAAAATAATATCAGGTAAATATCAGGTATTTTTATTAAGTATTTATAACATATATAAAGTATTATATGTTTATAGTCAGTAGTGGATTAGGGGGCAGGCTAAAAGGCTTATAGCCTAGGGCGGATTTTTTTTTTTTAGAATTAAGTGTTATTATTGACTTATTAGGTATATTTATTTTAATATATTTTTTTTATATTTGTCATATAAACACAAATAAAAATAATTTTAAAAAGTTATAATAATTTATTAGTATGTACATTTTATGATGTGTACCTATAGGCTATAGTAAGAATATTACAATTATTATTACAATTTGAAAATATTTCATTTATAATAAAATAATTACAGTTAATTACTAGTTATTATTAATAACTTATTAGTACCTATGTACTTATTGGGAACATTCAACTATCCGAATATAGGTATTTCATATCTGGCTATTTATATTTCCATTATGTGACTGTATAAATATTGTTTATTTGTACTGATAATAATGGTATCTGAAGTAAAATAATAGACATGAAATAGTTTATTTTTAGAAGTTTTCTATTTTAAATATTTTATATTTTATATTTTTTTTGTTGATAAAAAAACTGAATAAAATTTAAAGAGAAGAGCTTAGACCAAATATTGTTGGTTCCTTAGTAGTGATAGGGGGGGGGCAGAGTAATTAAGCCTAGGGGCGTCAAAACTCTAAATTCGCCACTGTTTATAGTTAATTTTCATAACATATATTTCATTCATAATATAAAAATACAATTTTGTGAGTCTAATAAGTAGGTACACAATGTAATCTCCCAAATTATATCTACAATATGACTAATCTTTAGATGTTATTATTTTAAATCGATCAAGTTCTTATATAATTTTTAATTTTATGATTAATAAACCAGGCTTGTAATTTAGGGAGCAGTAGGAGCGATCGCCCCCCCCCTAAGATCGTATTGTAGTAACCACAAATTAAGATTTTTTTTTTCAACCCGAAGGTTGGTTTATAACTCCAATTCTCCATTCTAACTGATTACTTGCCATTTCTTTGAGTTCCTTATAGATTTTGACTTTTGCACCACATTTAATTTGTCCTGTATAAGAGTTCCTGGGACATCCTGCAGTTTTCTTTCCTTCTATCATACCTTCTAATATTATATTATGCAATTCTTCTTGGTGTCTCAGGGCATGTCCAACCATTTTCCAGCGTCTTTCTTTCAAATTAAGATATGTGGTTTATACTACTTTATTACACATTATTTATTTTGAAATAGGTTAATACCCTTCCCCTCTTTAATATGAACATTTATTTACGTACCTGGAATAAATACAGGATAATAGCTAAAAAAAAAAATTCCCGCGCTCACAACTATCGGAAATAAGAACAATATTGTTTCATTTATTTCAAGTACCGATAGAAGTTAAAGTATTTGATTTTAAAAACCATACAAATCCTTTTGTAACGATATATGGTGCGTATTCAAACAAGTTCTATTTACATCATTAATTTTTGCTATAGGTACTTCAAAGTATGTATTTAAAATTGTCTATTAACAAAATGTTCACATCCACTTTAGATTTGTAGTTGCATTCGATTAAAAATTCACCGTTTGTCCTAATCAGTACTTGACTTGGCAAAATTACATGAGGGCTTAGTTTGTTTTCAAAAAATGAAAGTCCCCAAAACTTGTTAAACGTTATAATTGTAAACTCCCGTTAATTGGGGAGGGCTAGGGGTCCGGACCCTCCCCACCACCCCGAAATTTCTTCACTATTTTACAAATATTTAAAATAACTTTTTATTTTTAATACCAACATACATATTTTCAGTTATAAATGGCTAAAACTCCAATTAAATAAACTGCTAATATGAATTATAAAATCATATGAAAATATTATTACTGCGTCTAATAATAGATTATTATCGATAGACGAAAGAAACGACCGCTATTGACACCGTTTCGCGCGCGACGGTTGGTGACAATAAACAACAATATTAATTTTGTGTACATTAAAAATATTACTTTAGGTAATAATAGTTAATATACCGTCGTCCGCCGTACTGTGACAAATACGTTGAAAAGTATTAAAATTTTTATTCATCATAATGAGTAAACATGAGAACAAAAATGAATCTAGGTCAAAATATCCACAGACAAAATATCCAAATTTATCCGTTTTTCCGAAAATTAGTACATTACACTATACTTTCTAATACAACTAGCTCAAATATCAAATTATTTAATCATAAAAAAACCTAAATTTTGTGAAAATATTAGTTTAAATATTAAATAATAAAAATTAGCCCATAAAATTAATTCAACCTATATACGCTGTATATTACTAAAAGTATAATCAATTACGTTGATCGTTATAATATCACAAAATACAGGGTGATTTTTTTTTATCGTGAACCAGTTAATATCTCGGGAAGTATTAGGAATTCTAAAATAATTTTTTTGTTTTACTTTTTGGGTTCACTATTTTACACTGTATTACAACTTTGATCATTTTAACTTTCTCCCTTATTTAATAAAACACTATAAACTTTCGATTTTCAAATGGCAATACCTATTTTCGATAGCGAAAATTTATAAACATACCGAAAAAAATAATTTTAACGTTTACAGAATTTAATTTCAGTAATCCGTTTGCGACTTATTACCGTTTAAATATTCGTTCAATTTACTGCTACTGGGCAATTTATCAAACTCAACAGTAAAAACCAGAAATCAAAACGAAATGATATCTCAAATTAACAATACCCATTACGGTCATAATCGATAATAACTGTGATATCATTGCTACTAACAAGTCAATTAAATAATTTGATACTAATTTTTAGAAAAACGGATAAATTTGGATATTTTGTCCGAGGATATTTTGACCGATTACCAATAAAAATGTACCATTCAATTATTTGTCTAAACTTTTAAAGATACGTTATATTGTTTTATGTATTAAGTACATTTTCGTATTTCTATTGCGATTCCCTTCTATGATAATTTTATTTGTCAACTTAAAGAACGATTTTCCAAACAAGACAATTTTATCGTCTTTGTATTTATTAATTTTTAGTTTATATTCAAATTTTATAAATACAAATTCATTACTTTCAGAAATAAAATTGTGGAAAAGAAAATGGATTGCATTTAAAGATACAGATCGTCCAAATACAACTATAGAATCATTAAATTATTGTAACCCAGAACTTTTTCCAAATATTCATTTTTATTAAAAGTACTAGCCACATAGCCGGTTTTTACAGCAACTCCCGAACGAACTTTTTCGACATTAAAACGGTTGGACCCGATTGAGCACAAATAAAATTAAACAATAGAAATCCAAAATTTAACACGATTGAGCATAGAAATACGTACAACGTTGCCACCCCACACAACAAAATAATAATTAAAAAAAAATATTGAAATATTTACAAGAATTATTTTATAATAATCATCAAAGTATTTATTAGTGTATAAAACTATAAAATTAAATTATTTTACAAATATATATATATATCATTTATGTTCAGAACAGATTAATCTAAAAGGTAATTTTTAGATGTAGTTCATAATATCATTTTTTTAAATAAAAATGTATGTAAAAAAAAATTCATATGATAAAATAAGAAATACTTAATATAATAAATAATATTTGTATTATGTTACACAATTTTTATTACGTGTCAACGTTTTAAATTGGTATCCCTAAATAATTATTTCCCACTTTTAATAAATATTTTAGAATGTTTATTTTTTAAATATTCATTGTAAGCCATTATAGTTGCATTAGTTTTTGCATTCCAATAAAACTCATATTTTTATGACAGTCAGTTTCAATTGACCGAATTTTCGTCATCGTTTCATCTTGAATTTCTTGTAAAACCATAATTTCCAAGTGTATGTGTGGGTGAGACTTGTAGAATTGTGAATTGTAAGTTCTATGTAAACGTTCAACCGCATTTGTTGTTCTAAAAAAAAGTACATTTCATTGAAATTAAATTAACATTTTTTTTTGTATTTAATAATTACGATACTTCAAGGTTATTTTGAGAATAGAATCGTTGTTTATCTATAATAATTAATAATACAATTAATATATGATTATTTGATTTGAAATTATTTTGTACTTACCTTTTGCCACCGTGATTGGCCTAAATGAAATCGACAAGCTATTAATTGTACATTTTCAAAAACTTCATACGCGGCTTGGTGGGCAGCCTTTTCAAAGTCAACGTGTAATTTTTTTAATATGAACTGACTTCCTGTATATTTTATACATACGTCTTTTTGGAATAATAACCGTTTTTATATCCATGAATAGTATATAGTTATACAAAATATTTGGGTGCGTAATTAAATGTACCATCGTAAAAAAATCAATACAATCATGTTTAATCATAAATTGTAGGTTGAAATCACAAGTAAGACATAAAAAACTATTGCCTGCAGGAATATGTATGAATGGTTACCCATGAAACTTAAAATCTTCTTGAGTTTTCATTAAATTCAACTGAAAAAAAAACGTCTTCCAGTGACTTTGGCAATTCGGGAAGTATTTTTCGTCGTCTATCATACATAGCCTTACGAACTGTTTTTAAATCTTTATGAACAATTAAGACAGTTCTAAATTATTTAAAATTTCGTATCTGATCAATTTTAAAGGTTGAGTTGACAGTGACTCTTTAGCACGTCTTTTACAATTTTCACATAATACTTGCCTTTCTAATTTACTATGTGAATTTCCTACATGATTATGTTGTCCACTTGATTTAATAACAATATTTTTATCTGGCCCAGAATAAATCATAGCTATACAATTATTTTTCGTGCATCGCCATTTTAATAACTCGCCTTTTTTATGAATCCAATAAATCTATACTTAAAAGCTCCAACATTGGCTAATTCTTTTCCTCGCTCTGATACAATAACTTTTATTTCATTATTTTCCATCGCGTTTGACGTATATAAATAAAATAAACATTTTTAAAATAAAACGGTGTAACGTGTAACGACGAACAACCACTAACACCTGATAGTATTGAGTCTAAGTTATTACAGCTAACAATACAAAAGCAAATACAATACAATACAAAATATTTTGTGTAGGTAACAAATAATATCCAATTTAACAGATAATCGTAATCGCCAATTCATGTACCTATTTTGATTTTACGATTATGTCGTTTCCTAAACAACTCTTATATTATTTATCGATTTTCCTTAGACTCGTGCCGCTTTTCAAGAGATGGGAAACGACGAATGAAAATAATCACCATGCAGCATGCTCTACGATTAAATACCTCTCATACGACTTATAAAGCACAACGATTACGCATACGTATATTTCAAAAGACGCTTGTAACCCGGTTGTAGTCGGATAGGAAAACTGGCAACGTTGCATTCGTTTGACTGTGCTCAATTGGGCTATTAAATATTATGGACCATGCTCAATAGAGTTCTTTCAAAATAGGGACCGTGCTCAATCGGGTTTCAACGATTAAAACGTGTATAACCTAACCTAACTCTACAGGGCAGGAAAGACTAACTGGCCTAGCTCTATTAAGTACCTATAGACTGGGCCGACGAGAACTTCTGAGGGCCCCGGGGCTGCGGGAGTTCCGGGCTCCCTTCCCTTTGCAATTATTTGACCAAAACGCACCAAGACCACTTATACATGGTTTGGTACAACAAAAACATTATATACAAGCCCGAAATGACGGGCCCTCTCGGATTTACGGGCCCCGGGGTTCTAGCCCTCCCTGCCCCGCCCTTTCACCGGCCTTGCCCATAGAGATATTACGGTTAATCCCGAAGAAGTTATAAACCAGTTTACTCTTCAAAAAGATAAAAGCATTTTATTAGTTTAAAACATTGAATTTGTGTTTGTTATCACTTAATTTTGTTTTTATGTTTTGTATACCTTGGTGGCAAGATATCAAAGTAATTTTGTTTATTTAATTATACATTTTATTAAAATTAGATTAAAACTTTTTTGGTCTTATTTTTAATCAAATTTTAAAACCTAAATTTAGTAAAATTATAATAAACATATTTTGGACCTCCCCAAAAAAAAAAAAAAATTATTTATGAATACGGCCTTGGAGAAGGGGTAACCTCTTAGGTCTATGCGGTCGGGTAGCTTAGTGGTAGACCAATCGCCCGGTAAGCGAGATATTCGGTTTCTATTCCCGGTCTAGCGGCTTAATTTTTGACGTTCTCGTCCCGGAGAAGTTAACATAATTATACTGTAATAATAGTAGGGGGATGCTAACATTTCTGAAAATTAGTTGGGGTACTCAGTTCTCCTGGTCCCTTCTTATATCGAGCACTGGTCCTAAAACTTTAAGTTCGACCGACTAGGGAACATGGGCGTATGTAGACTTACTTCTAGGAGGGGACGACTCAAATTTTTCTTTAATTCAGGTTCAAAATTTACAAGTAAAATTTTTGGTAATATTTAAATCAAATGAATCCTTAATATTTGTGGTTTTTTATTTTTAATCTAATGCACTTAAATCGACTTTTGTGCAGTTTTTTTTTAACACAAGTCTGTGTTTTGAAAGTTACGCTTGTGTTTTATTTGATTTTTCACTAAGTATGGACACTAAGTATCGTTATAAAATGATCCACATTAAAAAAATTTGAAATGTGTATCTCACATGTGATCGATTCCTAAAATACGGATTCAGAGGGGGTGATCGCCCTCTCCGCTCTCTCAAAAATACGCCCCTGTTAGGGTAATTAGTATTAACTGCTAAAGTTAAGTTCATTACCATTTGATACACGCACACTTACAATTCTATTTTGACTGATGTAGTCACAGAATTGCACTAATTGTGTACCTTCTACAGAAAACTATTTTACTATTCTATGGTCTTTATCCACAGAATAGATTAAGTTTAAATTTAATTAAAATTTAATTTAATCTATTCTGTGCTTCAATCTTTATGAATGATAACAGCGATAAGCTTTATGTTTTCCTATTCACCGTAAATTAACTTTTTCTATTCATAATAGTTCATCTTATTGTATTTAACTTTCTAGCCGCTTTAGTACTCCGAGTTACTTATTTTTTATCAAACTTTTAGCTTAGGTTTTTTTATATTTCTTTTCAGTATAATGAAATTGAAAAGAGTACCTATTGTATTGTGTTACATTGATGACTTATGCAAAATACAAAGAAAATCAAGATGAACTAATGATAGAATATAGTATGTTAGTAGGACCTAAATTGGTTAGAAAATTAATTTATTGCTTTTTGGATTAATTAGTCATACATATATAAAAAAAAAACCTATCTGATTCTTTAAAAAACTTTTTTGTGTACAATGTATTTAAATTTTATTTTTATATTATAATAAATATTTTGATGCTTATACTAAAAACAATTTCTAGTTAAATTATAAAAAAAAATGTATTATTAATTGTAGCCATCAGTTCTATCACGTTCCTCTAATTTTTCTTTGCTAATTCCATAATAATTGGCCGAAATTCGATAATAAAATAATTTGTAGTCTGATCGGACCGTATCATATCATTGATTTTATTGGCTAACATCCTAAAATAGAAAAATTATGTAATTAATGAAGCAAAATAATATATATGTTACCGGAAAAGATGAAAATTCAGGAATTGTCAATATATCCTAGTCATTGTTGACAATGACTGGAAAGGTTAGGCAATGTTGGATATTTCGTAGTTTTATCAACATTTCCGTATTATATTAGGCAATATTATAAATCCGCATTCAAACAAATATCAACACCGCTTTATAGGTGATCGATCTAATTATGGAACATTCAAGTCCTCATGAAATATATATTAATTTTAAATTACGAACATTTTTTTAAATTTTTTGTGGTGTTACGAACGGAGCCCTAGTTGTGGTGTTACGATCGCAAACCATTGCGGAGCACCAAAGGCTTCGCGGAGCACAGTTTGGATATCGCTGTACTAGATTATATAATTCCAAGTGTCATAGTAATTTACCACGAAACAATAAAGATTAAGATTATGATTTATCCTAAATAGCTAATAAGTATTAAAATATATTAAATTAATTTTTAATGTCAATGCCTTCTTTTATTAGGAATTGTTATCAATGACTAGGTATTGACATTAATTCCTTACTAAATCAGGCATTATCATTATTGACTAGTCATTGTCAATACGAACTAATTGTCATATTTTCCGGTAACATATATATATATATATATATATAAATGTTAACTATAAGTAGTAATAAAATATTTATAATTTATCATCATAATAAATAGAATAGTATTAAAGAATTGCTAATGTTTTTAAAATTTTAAATAATTTTTCATAAAAACTATATAAAAACTGTATGTGTACTGTAAAATAACTAAAAACAAATAACTATTTAACACATGTGTTCCAAATACAGAAGATTTAATTAGGGATTGTTATAAGTTTAAATACAAATCTAAAAACTGGACCACTCAGACTGTCCATCCACCAACCGGCGAACCGTAAGCGATCATCGTCGCTGAAATGTTTTAGAATCATATAACGATTAAACACCAGCTGTCTCACGCTCAAGTGAATGGACTAGTCTCATCATCGTGGCCAATGACGACTCCAGATTTGCACCTGGAGGGGACGATGCATACTACAGAAATGATCCTGTGAAGTATGATCTTAATTATCCAAATGCAATTTGCTTGTATTTATACAACAAAAGTTCTCTTCGTCACGAATTTTGAAACATCAATATAGCGTATGGACATTATACTATAAAAGTTATTTGCATTTGTCATCCACTATAATATTGTTCATATAAAATCGTGTTAAATAAAAATTTAATTTTTCCATACTATTACTATTTATACTATTTTTCCGTATCGAGTTAAAGATAATAAATTCACTACTGTACATTTTTTTAAAAAAGCGCCATCTCTTGAATAAATCATGAATCAAAATATTTAAAATTATTTACAATTTACCACAGACAACGTGAAAAACGACAGCTAGCGTTCTGGGGAGATTACTCATATACAAATCGGAAGCAAGAAATACATGTTAGGATACACATTTTTTTTTACTTTATATTGTGCAATTTTCAAACTGTTCATGCTTCATATTTCATCTTATTAAAATAGTTTACAATAATTTACGTGCTTTATAACTTGTTATTTATTTTGTAATTTTAGCTATTAAGAGACTAAAATGATAATTATAAAGATTTTCAAAAATAACTAATTGTAATAATTGGTTTTTCATTAAGAAGTAGAAATAATAAAATTGTATTATTATGATTTCTACTAATCATATGAAAATATGATATTAATTTTAATAAGAGAAGATTAAATCTTTTTCTTTCTTATTTTTAACAAAATATCAAAATTTAAAATCTAAATTCAATAAAATTACAATGTACATATTTTGAACCCCTCCCGAAAAAAATTTCTAGATACGGCCTTGAAGACAATTATTTAAGTACCAAAATTATTATTTAATATGATTGAGAATAATAATATAATGGCTGTTATTGTGTGTATTGGGGATGTAGAAAATCGAAACAAATGAAAGTTAAGGACATAGAAAGGCAGAGGAGAAGAAGAAGAAGAAGAAAAATTGTTAATAGTAAACAAAACATTTATAAATAGTATACCTATATATGTGAATACTACCATATAATCAATGGTAACATTTAAATTTAAAATGGACTCCATACGAGTAAAACATCATGATTTTAAGATAAAATACTACAATTTTAAATAATTTGGATTACTTTTTATGTTTTGTAAATTTAAAGAATTTTCAAATACGTCTCTAAGTAGTAACAGTAGTTAATTTGTTAATTAATTGAGTTTTCTATATTTCTTACCCTCTAAATGTCAATATTTATTAGAAAAAAAAAATTAAATTATAACCATGAACATTAGATTTGAACTCATATTCACATTAAAAATATTATTATTATTTTATCAATATTATATTTTGTAAATTACAAAAATTGGGCTAACGTATGCAATTTTATAAACGGTTCAACAAAATTCTTTCCTGTAAAGAACCATTCGTGAAAAGTAAACATGTCACGTGCCGGATAGATTTACGTCAGGCAACGCAAAATTAGGGTGCTTAAATAATAAAATTAATTTGATTATAATTTAAAATTATAATTAGTGCAAAAATATAATTGTCGTCATAACGGACAATTTGATCGATAGTGAATCAAAGAATTGTGTCGATACATCGGATAAATACATAAATATTTTTAGCTTTTCGATAAACGTTGAATCTCAAGGTTAGAATAGGTCAACAGTATTGGTAAAAATAGCTATCGATGCGTTAGGTCAGCTACTAAATACTTAATTTACTTAATATTACTAATTAGCACTTATTAAATCTAATACATTATGCGGTGTGAGTGAAATGATGATTCATACTGTTTATTTAATTACAGGTAAGAAAAGTATTATCATTGATTATATACTTTTATATTATTATAATAGTATTTATAATCAATAGTATTATAAATGAATGACGTGTTTACACATGTCTGTGGCCTGTGTTGGCGATTAACATTATAGCGTTACCATACGCCATTGAACACGAATCCGTAGGCATAGAACATAAATAATTATACTCTGTGCCGATGAATTCGTGTGTATATAATTATTGTAATAATAGGGCTCTTATTGCGTTTCTGTATTACGTGCGCCCACGTCGTCACCATAACTTCGGGTTACGCGACGAGGTTGACGGTGAGCCGACCACGACCACAACTATATCGTCTGGCAGACGGTAACTGTGCCGCGGCCGGCTACTTTACTGCGTGATCCACGTGTACCTGTGGTGATTGCCTTGTCCATCTGTTCGACTTACCGGTTCACCGGGACACGTTTCGTTTCCGTGATTACAACGATTTACAACCGTTTGTTGTCAGGTTAACGTTTAGCTTATTTTTTCCGTCCTCGTCCTCCCCCTATTGTTTTCCACTACTGATTCCAAGGTTGCCTTACATACGAGCATTCTCGTACATGTTCTAGGATTTGGACGATTTGTACGAGGTACCAGTAACATTATCCTCGTACACGTTTTTTTACGAGAAATCCAGCAAAATCTAAATTAATCTTTTTTTTCTTCTCCCTCGACTTTCTCCCACATATTTGGGGTCGGCAACATTTGTCCTAAACCTCCACTGGTCTCGATTTTCTACATCCCCTACGCAAACACCAACCACCCTCATATTATACTTAATCGTATCTAACTTTCTATTTTTTGATTTTCCTCTTCCTCTTTTTCCTTCAACGTATACTTTTATAACCACACTTACTGCTTTTATTTCCATTTGCCTCATCCCATGTCCAAACCATCTCAGTCTATTTATTATATAATATTTTATTATAAAAAAATGGTTGGTTCCTGTGATACTTTTAAAGCAAAGGTTAGTTTAAAGATTTTTCAAACTTTTAAAGTTACGTATCAGCACAATGTTCGCTGAATTATCTAATATTAAAACTAGTGCGATCTAGTAATGAGCTATCAAAGCAAAACGGTATTCACGATATTCTACCCCATGCTCTGTTCGCCGAGAGCACGCAACTCGATCGCGTTGAAAAGTCAATGCGCAAAAATAGACGAGTTTTGGTTGCCGCCCAGTTGCGTTCTCTCGGCGAAATAAAATAAATTTAACATTAATGAATTTAAATAAATATTTCATTTAATATTTGAAATGCAATGTTTGAGCGATACTGGATTCCAATGAAAATACGAGAATTCGATAGCCACAACGTGAGAATAACTGTTCGAGGATCTGGCAACCCTGACCGATCTCGTGTTTTCGAACGCGCTGTCGAGCAGACGTACACGTCCGGTATAGATAACCGCAAAAACGGCACGCAGTCGACCTCGTCGCGTTTTGTTTTTTTTTTTTTTTTACCATACCGGTAGCGATTGGCGTGCGTGTGCGCGTGCGTCGTGTTCAGGACCAGCGAAAGATCCATGTCGGCGGCAGTACGGTGGTAATTTTCGTTGCCCGTACACGCGTGTGCACACTGTTGTCCGGTCGTGCCGTTCCACGTCGTCCGCCAACGCCAAACTTCAGCGCACTTGTCGACCGTTCGTGTGTACACTCGTAACGTATCCGATATCCACCAGATCGTCGGTACCGACGACAGCTACGTTTCGAAATGGAGGTGAGCGAATTTTCAATTTTTTTTTTTCCCTTTACGCGAGCCAGGCGCTCGTCGTCCGTATCGATTTGGTGTCCATGGCATATTCGGTACGAACCGTCGTCCCATCGGTGTCGCCGTTGTGCATTTACGATGTTATCCCGTTTCCATCGAACGTATCGTGTCAAGTTTTCGCCTTTCATGCCCACTTTATTTCCGACAACACCTTGCCGGCTACTTTTTTTCTATCGAAACACTGGATATTTTATCATGTTTTTTTCATACTTCACCTCGCTTTCTGCTCACATGTTTACCCTGAAATCATAATCTTGAACAAAACTTGTTATGCCCAACCGGTTAATACGATTTTAATAATCTTGAAATATTTAAAGTTTTTACGATTGCCATCGCACATTATTACAACATGTTTATGATAACTAATAAAAATATATCAACTGGTATTCGTCATTGATTGTGAATATACGTACTTAAGTGTTGATAAATTAATATACTATTTTGATTAGCCATGTATTTATGTTGGTTTTATTTTTGAACGAATTAGATTTACTAATTTCTAAATTCAAGGCTTGTCGATACTTGTCCATTGATTCTATTATCCTGTCTAATGATTGATGAGTTTTTGAAAAATATTACTATTTTATTTTACATAATCAAATAGATGTTATAATTTTACAAGTTTTTAGAATTTATTTTGTGTTCTTCTTTGTTGATATAAAATTAAATATTTACAAACTTAAAAGCGGATAAATAATTATTTCAAAGTAATATTTATAACTAGATTTGATAATATTTTATTAGTTAAAGTAACTGTTCTAAATAATCAATTATATAATGGTAATTAATCCTGAGAACAATTTCTTAACATAATCTGTACTATTTAGTGCAAGGTAATTACAGTATTCTTCTAATATAATTATAAGTTACTCAATATATTCCTTTTAAACTATAATATTTTTATTAATTTATTTATTAGTGATGTGTGCATTATGTTTAAACTATATATTTTGTTTTTCTAGATTGAAATTGTAACTACTACTGACAAGAATATTGGAAAAATTAAAGTAAGAATTATGTAAACTAAAAAATAGTTTTTCATTGTATACTGATATGTTAAAGTTCTGTAAATATGGAAACTATACTGATCCCATTATTTATTAAAATATTTGCCTTTAATTATTTAACTTTAGTTGAATTCTGTGTTGATTTTTTTAAATTAATTATGGAAAATGTCTAGGTTCTTAATTGAATATTTGTACGTTTTATTAATAAAATAATACAATTATTATTATTAGTAGTTATTACATACATTTTGTAGATTTTTATTCAAAAGTTAATTTATTATTAAAAACTTTGTACCATAGATATTCAATATTTATCAATTAATAATTATTTTGTGTTTTTATTCTATTTATAAAAAAAAATTCTATAAATACTAATTGATCAAACCTAATTAAAAGTCCCATCATTCAATTTTGTTAATTTACTATCATGTTTATCTAACTAAATTAAGTATTTTTATCGATTTACATTCTCATAAGTAATTACAGTTTTATTTATTTATTTTCAAATTTTGTATCTGAATTTATGATTAATGGAATTGATTAGTTATTATACAAAGCATTGTACATTATTATTCAAATGGAAAATATTATTCCATGTCCTTGGTCAAATGTCTTATAATTTATTCAATATACTTGCTTGTGTTGACATTGTATGTACTTTAAGTCACGTTAAACCAGTGCAATAATTTATACAATTCTTAGCATATAGAAAAATAAATAATGTTAATAACTTTCTACTATTGAAAATAATATTTAAGATTGTAATGCTTTATTTAGAAATAATATTATGCAAATTTAAACATTTCTCAAATATAGTTAAATTTTATTATTAATATTAATTTAACACCTAGCATTTTTTGTGTATTGAAAATATTGTGTTTCTAAATGTTATTGAAGATTTTTTTAATTTAATTCTTTATTATCTTAGGTAACTGAATTACCTATATTTACCCATTTATTTAAAATAAATTTAGTCTTATTTATTTTAAGGGTTTTTAATTTTTGTGAACTTTTTTTTAGGTCACAGATGCTTCTCAGATTAGTGATATTAAAAAAAGCATTAGCAAAATAAAGTCTGCTTTATATCCAGACAGACAGTCATTAAGGCTTGAACCTCGAGGGAAAAGTTTAAAGGATTCTGATAAGGTCAAAGATTTAGGTAAGTAATAATGAATTATGATGATATAAATTTAATTACATTTTCAAGCCATTAAACACCAAATTTTAATTTTATGAAATTAAACATCATCATTTAATGAGTAAAATTCAACATGATTTTCCATTTAATTTCCAATTTTTCAATGCTTTGAAAAAATAAGAATTTATCATTATTTTTTCTACAGATAATGCACATAAAGTGTTGAAGGCAAGTTTACTACTTGATGGTATTGTAAAAAAAAATTAACTTTTTTGGTTCTTTACTATTGAAACATAGTATTTTAAATTTTAATTCCATTAAATACTATTTCAACAGAGGTTAGGTTTATTATCTATGATAACTGAAACTAGCTTTTAATATTATGTTATCTAATGTAGGTATTTTTTTTTTTAAAGATTAGTAAATTCTGTAACAATTTGAAATTTATGAATTTTCAATAGTTAAAATAAATAGTAAATATTATTTATTGTTGATAAATGTTCATAAACTTTTTTTTTAGTTGATATTAAATTTTAAATACTTTGTTTAACATTATAATACTCTAGTAATTGTATAGTAACATTAAATTACTATTTCATTATTATTAAAATAAAGTTATCTTGATTTACAAATTAATCTTTAATTTTGTTTTTTAGGGTTAATAAATGGATCTAAACTTTATGTTAAAGACTTGGGTCCACAGATTGGCTGGTCTACTGTATTTATGGCAGAATATGCTGGACCATTGTTCGTATATTTAATATTTTATGTTAGGCCTAGTTTGATTTATGGGGCTGCAGCTAACCAAAAAATGTCACAAGTTGCTGAGTAAGTTCATACTTATTATATTAATAATAACATTATTAAATAAAAACCATTCAAATTGTTTAAAAAAATAATAACTTGAACACAGTATGATATACATATTTATTTAATTATTGTATATTTAATCTATGGTATGAACTACTAGATGATAGATGAATTACAAATATATTAATAATTTTTTTTGTTTTTAGAGTTGCTGCTTATTGTTGGTCTTTTCATTATGCTAAGCGAGTTTTAGAAACGTTGTTTGTACATCGTTTTTCCCATAATACAATGCCAATAATGAATCTCTTTAAAAACTGTTCATATTATTGGGGATTCACAGCTTTTGTTTCATACTTTGTTAGCCATCCATTATATACTCCACCCTGTACACTTCAATTTTACTTCGGTCTTGGTACTTTCATCGTAAGTTATAACATTTTATTTTTAGATTGATAAAGTTTATTAATTAAATATAAAATGTTTATGATTTTAGTTTTGCGAATTAGGAAATTTAAGCATTCATATAGCTCTGCGAAATCTTCGTCCTCCTGGTACCAAAGTAAGACGTATTCCCATTCCTACTATAAATCCTTTTACTCTTCTTTTTAACTTTGTTTCTTGCCCTAACTACACTTATGAAGTTGGTAGCTGGATTGGGTTCACCATAATGACATCATCATTCTCAGGTAAAAAATTACCAGTTCTTACCCGGAAAAATTATAATTTTATGAAATTGTGTATATTTTAATTTTTTAGCTGGATTGTTTGCATTTGCTGGATTCTATCAGATGGCTATTTGGGCTCTTGGCAAACACAAAAATTATAAGAAAGAATTCTCCGATTATCCAAAGAATAGAAAAGCCATCATACCATTTATACTTTAATTTTTTTTTTTTTAGTAATGTACTGAATGTTTTACATACATTTTATCTAGGACTGAATTTGGTGGGTGTGATGTATTTAATAAGTTTTTTTTTTCTAATTTTTTGGTTTGTATCTTGTGGATACTAAATTATGTTACATTTTTACTTCTGTATATTTATAGGAGATAGTTAAAATACAAATATGATATAACAAATAATTGATCAAATTGTATACTCATATTTATAAGTATTTTGAAATAATTTTTTATATTATTATCACTAATTTATAAATATTAAATGAATATATTGAATAATTTTTACAAATAATTATTCTACTGATTAAAACAGTTTATATAGTAAGTACATAAATGTTAAAATATTAATAGTTTGATCTGAGACACTATTTTTAACAGTATTCATTTTAAGAATTCTATATAAATTAAATATATTTGTTATTATATAATTTAAGAATGTCTAAATGTGACTTAGAAATCCAAAAGAGTAATAGAAGTACAAAAAATAAGAAAAGGTTGATACCATTTGTATTGTATTGTTACTGTATTTCTTGCCATATGTTATGATTGTACTTTTTAATTTTTGAAATAAATTGTCTACAATTTTTACAATTTTTGTCTAACATTTTAATTATTGTTTATATTAACATTATTATGTTCCTTATGTGGGTATTCAATAGATTTTGTATTTGCAGTAGCAACTAACTTTTGATGAGTATTATTATTTTTAATTTGCTTAGAGGTGATATGTTTTTTACTTCTTTTATAAATGGATTCCATTTCCTCATATTTTTTGAGGTTTACCTTGAGTTCTTGTCTTAGTTTATTATTTTCTTCAATGAGAATCATATTCTCTTCCATAATCTTACTATAAGAATCATTTTTTTTCGCACATGCATTCACTCGTTTTTTAAGATTGATGATTGTTTTTTCTAAAAATTGTCGTTGCTTTATAAATTCTATTCTAGTGTCTAACTCTTCATCTTTAGACACTTTGAATACTTTTTCGTTGCTGTATTTCATACACAAATCCTAAAAATAAAGTTGATCAAGTTATAACAGAACTATTTGAACTTAATAAAAGTTGGTAAATCTGCGTTTTAGGCTTTAAGTCAGATTAGTATTAATATTTCATATGTTATTTTATGAATAAAATTAGAACAATATACTTTAACAATAAAATTCCTTTAAAAATTAATTTAGTAGTTATAGGTCAATAACATATTTGACCAAATTTTATTTTGCTGGATAGTTTAGTACTATTTAATATTTACTAAAGTAGAACAGTGGATTAATGAGAGTTAGAATTTATTCATTCTACTTGTTACACAGATCACAGATATTTACTTCTAATGAGTTGACTGAATCAGGCCTTATTTCTAATTGATACTTTTTTGTTTATGTATGTAAAATAAATTAACTGGTGTTTTGAAATTATTGAAATTAAATTCTATATCATTAATTTTAGGGTAGGTATAATTGTTTTTGTTTAATTTCCAGTAGGTATCTACATCTTAACTTACTTTCACTGCATCTTTTAGCTTAGGTGGATTTTGATAATGTTCACTGACGGAATGGATATCGATTTGAATGTTTTTTATCATTCTATTAACATCTCTGATAATTTGTTCTTTATTTTTTAGTTCTCTAGTGTATGCTTTTAATTTGTCTTTTTGATCAGAAATGTAGAGTCGCATAAGTTTTTTTTCACCTGACATATCTTCCATTTCTGCTTCCATCTGTTAATTGAGAAATCATTAAACTTTCAGTATACATATATATATATTTGTTTTTAATCTACTAATAACTTATGTATAAAAATGTCTCAAGTCTTGATACTTTAAAATTCTTGACCCATCAAATAAATTATTACTGTTTCATCTTATTTAATTTGATATAGTTTCTAAAATTATATTAACCATTTTTGTAAAAGTAATCATTTAAACCTTTAAAATATGAATTATTTTAACAATTCTATCTCTAATTACATAACCCTATAACTAAATAATTGCTATTTTTTATTCGTCAATATTCCATTGACGAACTATATCATCAAAACTATCTTCCCCCATTTCTTTTTATTATATGCTATATTTTGCCAATCTATTTCAACTTCTTGGACTACCTCATTTCATATATAATTTATGCTGTTTATGCCCCTTCTTCGTGATCTACCTCTTTCTCTTCTCCTTACTAAAGTCAAAGTTATTTCTTTCATTATTATTTCATTACCTATTTCTTTTATTAAAAGTCTGTCTGTTTGCCACTAATGTCCGATTCTTATACTTTTAGTAAATTGTACAATATCTTCATTTCTATTACTTTCTTTTACAGCTGTGTTTTTTTTAATATCATTGCTATTAAATGTATGTAATAAATAGGTACTTACGTCTTCTATTATCCTTTTTTTATCTTGTATTTCCATAATTAATGGCTCGACCGTTTGTTCTAGTTCGTTCACATTTTCTTTCGTTAATAACAATTGTTTTTCTAAATCTTTCATTTTGAGCTTTTCTTCGAAAATTCTAGTTTCTTTCTGCTCTATGATAATGTCACGAACTTGTATTTGTTTCTTGAGGTCTAAAATTGTCTGTTCTTCATTTTTTACTGAAATCTTCAATTGCTTTACATCATCTTCGTACTTTTCAATTAAACGATCAAAATCTTCTGCTTCTTTCGATGCCCTATCAATATTGTTGTAATTAATTATATTTTAGATAACAAAAAAAAAAGAGTTTACCCACGCTTTAGCTTTCATTTTATATGATCCAAGTTCACCCCTTAAATTTAAATTAATTTTTTTTAAATCCCTCAATTTTGCTGCAAATTCAGCCTTTTTCTCCAACACTTCCCGATCTGCGTCTTCTTCAATTTTACTCACGCACACTGACATACTTTGTTTGTCTTTAATCAGTTGTTCTTTTAGCTACAATAAATAATTATCTGTTGAATTTATTACTAAATATATAAACAGAATGTAATATAATTTATTCACTTCATAAGTACCCAATAAGAAGAGACTAATTTTTAAGTATCTATAATAATAAATTAATATATAGTTTTCTTTATATAATTAGTACTTGACTAAGAAATCAAGTCATTTTCTCATAGATATTACGTAAAAATAAATATAATTAGCAATACCTAACACTTTTATTTATAAGTAGATACCTATTTACAGTTCTTGACTTGGCAAAATTAAAGAAGGGAGACACTATTTACTTCAAAAAAAGAACTTCCCCAAAACTGGCTGAGCGTTATGATTATAGCGTAATAATAATAGGGGGACGCTAAAATTTCTGAAAATTAGTTGGGGTATTCCGTCTCCCTGCGTCTCCCCTCAAGTCGAGCACTGCCTATTTAATATATCACACCAATTTAAACTATTCTAAAAATAGAGATGTTTTATAAAATTATACAAGTATTTTTTATGTATTTTAAGTAATTACAAAATACCTCTCAACATTACCATTTACCATTTATTATCAATAAAATAAAATTACAATATTCTTACAAAATTTGTAGCTTATTTTAATATTTAGAAATTATGTACGATTCTTTTTTTCTTTTTTATAAAATTCTTCAGCATAAGCTTGAAAAATAATATTATTTTTCGTTATGTTGTTATGAATAAGCTTGTTTTAATAACTACTTTTACGTTAAAAAAAAATAATTTAAAATTGTGCTTTCAAATACATATTTTGTGGAGCATATCTCTTGAATTTAAAAGCTTCGAAATTCTAGCCATATTTTGTAATTAATCATCAAGATTAATATTTATAATATTCACTACAAGTGCATACTGTGACTTTTAGTCTACGAGTATTCTCTGAAATTAATTCAAGGAAATATATTTGATTATCTTACACTTCAGCCCTTAATATTATGTGTGAACATTTCCAATATTATACTCAAACTTACTTTTAAAATATTTTCATCTTTTTCTTTAAGTTTTATATTAAACTGGTCTACTATTTCTTGCAATTTTTCATTTTGTTCGAATTCAGATTTATTAAAATCTCTATAATGGATAAAAATATTTCATAAAATTAACAATTGATTGTACATAGAAGATGTTTTAGTTACGGGAACAACTAGAGTCCAAATATTGGGGGTGCTGACATTGCTGAAAATAAAATTAAATGGTATTTAACTATAATTATCAAGGCTCATAACTAATAGCATTTACATATTTCTTTTGAGAGGTCCTAGAAATACCTAAGTGAGCTATAAATTTGTTTTAGATAACTAAGAAGCTAAATGCGAAATTTTATGTTGCATTTTTTGCATATTTCAAAGTATAATTGCTATTTTGCATTTTTAAGTATTTTTCAGCTTCTTAGCATTTAAAACATTTTTTCTTAATGATAAAAAGTAATTATAGTAGTATTAATTTTTATATTAGTAATTTATTCATGTTAATTAACTAATTTTTCTTTTTTTGGTTTAAATTATATATTTATTTGTATCATATAGCAACGCGATCGGAATTTTAATAATAGGAGTTTAAATTTTTTTTTTTATACATAATGTTTTTTTAAATAAGTGAAAATTGTTTTTTAATAATAAATGAAAATTTTGTTTTTTACTTGATAAATTTTTTTTGTTTTTTTTTATATTTTTAGTGCATGTTTAAGCGCTTATATGAATATTTTTTTAAGAGCATATTATAGCGCTTATAACTACTTTTTTTTAGAGCTATAAGTTATGAGCCCTGGTAATTACTATAGATTATCTAGATCTGAAGAAAAAAAACAGGATTGCTACATTTGAACTTAGGGGTGCTAAAAACCCTATTGCACTCCCCTAGTTGCGCCAATGGTTATAGTTATTTTATACATGTATAATTATAATTATATATATATATATATATATATATAAAGACATTTCTAATCGTTTAATCGTTTATTACTTTTCCAATTCCGAGTTAATTTTGAATAACTCTTTTTGGAGAACATCGTATTTTTCGTATTCGACCAAAAGTTTTCCATTATAGTTAGCTTCCAATTCTTCCAATTTTAATACGTGCGAATCTTTTAAAAGATTTAATTCCATTTCTAATCTACTTTTATCGGCCATATGTTTTTTAGTTATTTCCTAGAATGAAAATAATATAAGTTTAAGTTTAACAATTCTTGCATTATCATTAATAATTATATTATAGATGGTTATACGGTATTTTTATTTTCCAATATTTTTATAAGACTTGAATGATTATTATTCAGCTCTTGGATCTGTTGTTCTTTGGACTTTGTAAGTTCAGTAATCTGGTATTTACATTCTTTTTCCAATTCTTTTACTCTCATTTTAAGCTCTGCTATGCTTTCAATTTTGTTTTTCAAATCCAAAGCATTAACTAAGATATCATCAGAATATGCAAATTGGTCATTTAAAATAACTTTTTTGCCTTCGGCGTCCATAACATCCCATATACATATGCTACCATCTACTGAAGAAGTAATAAGAATTGAATCGTCTATTGTCATACTCATCTGTAAACATATGTCCATTGAAATAAATATTTTGAAATTACAATGCATCACTTTTTATACACCTTTGATATATTCTTGTTGTGCACATTGAACTCTTTGTGTTTGATTTCAGCCATTATAGGTAACATTAATGACAATAAAACGCCATTTTGACCTGCTACAAATAGAATTAAATCTGATCTGGATAATGCTATCGCGTCTAAGGGTCCTTGATGTAAGTCTATATCACGAATCACCTGAAAATTTTTTATAACACTTATTTCCAATTAGATTTATTTATTAAGAGTGTTTCCTATATTTTATATATTTATTGGGTACTTATATTAATCAATATATTTCATATTATACTCGGAATGTTTATTAAAAAATTAAGTGTTTTATGTTTTTGTCAAAGATTATAAAAACTAATATGTAAGCATTTATGCCCTTCTATAACATATTACGTACATCAGTATCATTAATTTTTCAACATAATTAAGACAAATATATTTAAATAAATTAGTGATCACAGGTTTCCAAATTGCCATACGTTCATATTTGGATATTACGAGTATAATATTATTTATAATATTTATACTTGAGTTGCTATTCCCCAATGTCCCTATGGAATTTAAAAGCTAGAGTACAGAATAATTTAAAAAAAAAATTAGTTGTATACTTTATTTAATTACCTTACACTGCAAGTTTATAATGTTCGAAATTAAATAGGTAAATAACAATTATTGGCCAGCAGTCCCACTAGTAGCTCTAGCTCTAGCTAGAGCACTTAAATTTGATAAAATATTATGATGAATTAAAATACATTAAATTTAATATTTCGCTTTTACTTACAATCAATTTTATTACCTAATATGTTACCTAATATGATTCTGAGTGGCTATTGGTTGTACAACGATGTGTGTATATTTTTTTGTATTTCTGTGTATTTAGACCAGAAGGATTACTCCAGTTATCAGTTATGGGAAGTTCCTAACAATTGGTTCTCACATTTTTTGCATAGTTAAATCCACACGGCAATTAGATAGGTTACTTGAATTTAAAAATAAATAAAGATTTATTTTAAATTGGTTACCGATTGATTATATATTTCTCTGAATCGGCCATCTTGAGCAGCTGGGAATATTTGATTGGTATCGTTCGAGATGGCCAAATCCATATAAATTGTCTTAGGATGTACGATGTCCATATCTCTTTCGCCAGTGCGTGTATTAAACTCATAAATAGCACCATCTTTTCCACACGTGACTATTTTCATATCATTTGTCGCCCATACCATGGCTGTAATCTAAATCATAATACTAATAATTTTTCTATACACATAATATTAGGGCGGTCCATTTGTGTCCAATGACACGTACTAACAGCACTTACAGCATTCGAATGACCTTTGAATGTGAATCTTTTCTCAAATTTTATCGAACAATAAACGTCTACGTCGAACTGGTTTGCCAAAGCAAACATGTGACCGGATGTGCTAAATTCTGTTAGATTGCAGCTAGTGACGGCGAATTCTCTCCATGCCTTTAGACCTTCTGTGTGTACGAGTTGGAATTCAACTTTTCCTGTGAATGCAGCCACGGAATATAACCCAGAAGGATGCAGTGACACACTAAACACATCTTCTTGGTAGTGTTGTGATAGAATTAAAGAACAGTCTAAATAATTCCAAACTCTTATAGTGTGGTCAATCTTGCCACACGTTATAAATATCGGTTTCCATTTACAAGTTGACAAGTTAGAAATACCACCGTGATGCAAGTCTTCGCCAAGTGGCTTAAAATAAATCACTGCCTGCGTCTATAAATAACAGATTCATCATAATTTCTTTAAATCTTGGCCAGTGCAGACGTCGAAAAGTGGTAATATCCCTTACCAATAGCATTTTAGGCATTTCAGCCAAAGGTGCCCAAAATAATTGAGATCTTCTCGTGACACAAATCATTTTTTGATAATTTGGACTTAAAGACAGCGTTTCTATGTTGTGCATAGGTCTATCAGTATCTAAAGCTTTTAAGTTCGGATCAGTTTGTTTCAAATATTCGTTTCGTTTTTTATACCTAACAAATTAAACGTGTTATTGGAATTTTAATCATTAGATAATATAAAATGTTCTGTAATTAACTGACCTGTGATTAGTTTTTTCATAGTAATATACACGCGAATCACCAAAAAACGAATACTAAACCGATTTTGAACGGTGTACAGCATTTTATGTCCATTCGTTGATTGCCTTCTTTTGCTAATGGAACTACATCTAAAGGAGCCTTTATTTTAATTTTTGGATCAAAATCTATCATTGTTTTGGCATTGTACACAGCAATTAATTCTCCATTTTCTACTATTACTAGACGACCATCCATAGTACCAGCTAAAATCCTATAGTATTAAAAAATAATATAATTTACATTTATTTGTTTTTTGTTTTGTTACATGTTAATTTAATAATTTTTTTTTTAAACATTAAATAATTTTTATTATTAGTAATTTAGTATTATAGCATTTATTTTAACTAAACATTTGAAATAAGTTTTTGAAAATTCCATTTTAATATATAAAATTAAACTCTATAAATAATTGTTGCCAAGTTTAATGATTATCTTTAAGTGTATGATTTTTTTAACATGATAATAGCCGATTGGTTTACTTAGGAAACCACTTACAGTTTAAGTGTTTTAAAAAATATATATTAATAATAATATATTTATACATAGTACTAGGTTTGTACAAAATCATGTCTTATTTAATACAAGAGGAATGGTTAAGGTTTTACCTCCATGGTTCTTAGTATTAAAAAGTATAATTATTCGTTATACAATTTATAATAATAATTATTATTCAATAATTTTGTTTGTCTTGTTTATAAATAATATCTATCAGTGGTGGAACTACCACTATTGAGGCCGGTGGATACAATATTTTTGGAGCTCCTATTATAACTGTAATCCAACTTTCTAAACATTGTGCTGTTTATTTGTATATAATAAAATAATTCATGGTAAATTAATAATTTATTGAATCATTATTACAATACATAATAATAATAATTTTGTGTTTTCAATGAAAATTATTTTTTTTGCTATGATCTTGAACAAACGTTTTCACCGACAACGATAAACTCTTACATTTTTTAGCAAGCAAATTTCGTATCGAAATCATTGCAAGACCACTAAACCGCGTTTAAAACATGGTGCTATTTAGATAATTTCTAATTAATTTAAGTTTTGAGAATGTAATTTCGGCCCTTGCTACAGTAACTGGTAATGTAAGGAGTAAGTCAGAGAAGTAACATTAAAGACATAATATTATACTTGTATAATGTATTTTTCACATTATTAAAAGTAGTCTAATACTATTGATTCTTGAAATCAAATCATATTAAATCATATTAATGACTAACTGTTTGTTACATTTTGATATTATACTAAAAATACGTACTGAAAATCATATTTATTTACTCAGTAATATTGTGTTAGATGATAAATAAAGATACAAGTAGTATTGTGTAACGTTATTCAAAGCCGGATAAGATCTATCAAAATTTAATATGGAGATATAAGTTTTTTTTTTTTTTGTTTTTTTTATTTATTAAGGCATTCCTAGCTAGAATAGCTATCTAAGCCTATTGATAATATATACATGCAATTTTTTTACTTACATAAATGCGATATAATAATGTAATATAAAATATTAAGTAAAATATAAAATTAGCGAGATATTAAATATTAAATAAAATATTAAGTATTAAGTTGATAAAATATTGTTAAATATAGGTTAAAAATAGAATTTTTCTGGCTTGATGTATTCGATGTGGCAGTGATTGGTGGTAGGTCATTTAATTCGGTCGTGGGGTCTTCTTCTCTTGAGACGGCGAATTTTTGGTGGGTTTTCGGTTAAGTTGTAGTGGACGGCGCCATTTGAGTTCTTAAGAGAGTGAAAGAATCTGTTTGCTATATGATTTATGTACTCGTTAATAGTAGGAATTTTCAGGTCATTATGCAGGGCTTTGTTGCGAACGAACCAGGGAGCATCAGTTATTATGCGGAGTATTTTGTTTTGATAAATTTGAATTTTATTTAAGTGACTATTGGCACAACTGCCCCATATAGGACTTGCGTATAATATTAAAGGTCTCAGTACTTGCTTATATATAATAAGTGAGCATTTTTTACTAATAGTTGATTTTCTATTTAATATTGGAAAGAGAACCCCTAATCGTTGGTATGCTTGGAGATATAAGTAAAATTTGTTGATTAAATTTTCAAAAATTATAAATAAATATAATACAATATAATTAATAAATAAATAATTAAGAACAATCTTAATTACCTAGAAATTTGCTTTCACAAACAATACTAGATACATTTATACTTATTATTTAACATATTTGTATCTTATTTTTTTTTAGAAATATATTACCTATCGCCGTTTAACCAACACACAGTTGAAAAATCCAAATTGTCAGCTTTTTGGAAACCATACTGCCGCCAAATAGAATCACTGATAGTGACCAATCGAAAGAGTCCTTTTCCAACAAAACAACAAATCGTATTGTCGGTTGGATTTAATGCCATCTATGAGAAATTATACAGATCTAAAAAAATAAATCTTTACGTGAAGTAATATATAGATACCAACTATTGATCACTACGAGAGTTGTTTTAAAATAGTTATATCTATTGTTATAGAAATTAGTCTTAATAAATTTAAAATAAATAAATATTAAATCATATACTTTTAATATTTACCATTAACGTTATGAAGAAGTATTATTTTAAATTATATTTTTTGGATACACCCAAAGATTAAATAATTGTTACTTACTCTGTGATACAACTTACGTCTAAAACAGGTCCTTCAGCATTTGGAGGATTAGTGGCTTTCACGTAGCTTTCGATTTTTGCATTTTCCCAATTGTAGTAGTACATCATAAAATCCGGCCCATTAGTGAGGGCTGCTAAATAAATATCATCATATGAGAACTTGATATTGATGAAGTTGTCCGTTTTTAGATCAGTTAGCACAGTTAACCGTTTTTTGCGTTTCTTAGAGTCCAAATCGTATATACTTATGGTCGGTTTTTTATTGTCACCTTTTTCGGCCACAGCTATAACATTCCTGAATTACAACACAAAATTAGAACATTTAAATGCGTATTCAAATATTCAATCGGTATTTAATTTCAAATCGAACTAATATAAAAAATATTTTTGAAGAGATTTTAGGTTGTATATTTTCATATTTATATAATCTAAAAACCACTTTTGTTCTAAAACATATATAATAATTTTCCTGAATTTCGGAGGGGGTGAACATCTAATCCCCCCTTGTGTACTTATAAATAGGCAGAGCCGGATTAAGGAGGGGGGCTAAGCGGGCTATATCCCAGGGCCCCCAAAAAAATAATATGGGCTTGCAGCTTTTCTGTGGTTATAGATATATTATTAAAAAAATATGATTTTAACAATATTTATTTAAAGATAAAATCTATTAATCATTTGAAATAATTGTCTGTGACAACCTGCATGTTATTGAATTAGTTACTAATTATCTGTACATACAACAGACAATATACTGTGTTATTTCGTTTTATTTTATCGCTTCAGATAAAAGGTATTACAGTCGTTTAATAGCTATATCCATATTAATATATCATTCACAGATATAAATTATATCTGTGATCGTGTTTGTTATCTTTTCGTTTTCTGCTGTACATATTGTACCATATTCTTACGTATTTACACTCGGTCTTTTTTCATTTGAGTAACACAACGTCAGTCCCGTCATGTTAAACATTTATTTTAAAATATTAGTTAATAATTTAATAATTTAAAAAAAAATTAATTAAATTCAATGTCTTCAAGAAAGTATCTTTCTGGCGCAGAAAAACGGAAATCAAAACAACAGAAAGAAAATGAAGCAAAAAATCATGCGACAATTTTCGAATTCCTCAAGCCAAAAAATGACGCCAAAAGTAATGTAATAATTTATTCTTCTTTTGATAGTGATACTATAATTGAAAATCTTGAAACAGAAATTCAAGTTAATAAAATATATGGAAATTCATTAAATAATCATAAAACGGAATTAAAATTGGTTGCGAATAATAGTGTTTCCATAAATAATGTATTGATATCGTCTTCTAATAAAATCAAAATATCAAAAGATCCTGGACTTTGGCCTGAAACAATTGATACATATTTTAGAGAAGAATGTATAAAATTAGGATCTGCATTTTTTCAAAATAGAAATAAAGAATATCCAGTTTCAAAACGTTTATTTAATTCTCAAAATCGTTTTTTGTCCGACATTTTATTCGATCGAAAAATGTATTATGATGACATAATAACCAGGAAATGGTTATTATATTCGGAATCAGTTGGAAGAGTTTTCTGTTTTCCATGCAAATTATTTCCATTTTATATTAAATTAAAGTCTTCATTTTCGAAATCAGGTTTTAATGATCGGAAACATGCTGATGAATTTTTATCTAGTCACGAAAACAGTATAGAACATTAAAATGCAAAAAGTTCGTGGTTAATTTGTCAAAATGATAATTTTCGTCTTGATAAAAGTCTACTGAATTATATGAGAACTGAAACCACCTATTGGATTGATGTTTTAAAACGAGTAGTAGCCGTCGTAAAATGTTTGTACGAACGAAGCTTAAGTTTTAGAGACGACAATGAAATTTTTGGAGTTCCTAATAATGGTAATTATTTAGGAATCTTAGAACTTATATCTCAATTTGACCCAGTTTTAAAAGAACACATATTAAAATACGGTAATCAAGGAACAGGAAATCCTTCTTATTTATTAAAAACAATTTGTGAAGAACTTATTCAACTTATGGGCAAAAAAGTCTTAAAAACAATTATTGAAGAAATATATATCGCTAAATATTATTCATTAATTGTAGATTCTACACCAGATTGTTCACATATTGATCAATTATCAATTGTTTTTAAATATGTAGATATGTATATTTGAGTGAAGTCAAAGAACGATTTGTACATTTTATTCCAATAAACAGCCATAAAGGAAAATCACTTTTTGATGTCGTCAATAATTTTTTAATTGAACATAATTTAACTTTAGAAAATTGTCGTGGACAGTCTTTTGATAACGCCACAAATATATCCGGAAAATATGAAGGGTTACAAGCTCATATTAAACAAAAAAATTAATTTGCTCAATATGTTCTTTGTGCAGGTCACTCGTTAAATTTAATTGGTTTCAGTGCTACTGAATCATGTCAAGAAGCAATACATTTTTTTCATACTTGCAAAAACTATATAATATTTTTTCATCTTCACCTCGAAGGTGGACTGTTTTAACAACGAATTTGAGTCCAAATGATAATTAAAAACTACTTCGTCTTAAAAAATTGAGTCAAACTAGATGGTGTTGTCATTATGAATCTGTGAGAACATTGTTTATTAATTATGATAATATTCTTAATTGTTTGGAAAACATAAATAATGATACCGAAGAAAAATCTGATGTAAGAAGAGAAGCAAAATCAATAATGAAAACATTTCTTAAATTTGAGACGGCTTTTATGTGTGTCTTGTGGCAAACTATTTTAGAAAGATTTAATAAAATTAGTGAAAAGTTACAGAAATCTGAGTAAGATTTATTGTCTGGTTGTGACTTAATTTGTTCTTTACAACAATTTTTATTTCACGAAAGAAATAACTATGAAAAGTATGATAATTTGACTTAGACCGTAAGCACAAAAATTATAGAAAACTATGAAGACAACGGTAAAATAAAACAGAGACGATGTGAAAATCTAACTATTTTATGTGGGAAAAAAAAGTTTGAAATCGATACTTTCTTTGTTATTATATATAAATTTATTTCTGAACTTGATAGAAGATTAAATTCTTATAATCTTTTTCTTTCTCAATTCAAATTTTTAGTTAACTTTAAAACTGATAATGACCCAGACATTGATTCATTAAATAACTGTATTCAGTTTTACCATAATGATCTCGATGATAACTTGAAAACAGAAATATCACATTTTTATTGTTATATCAAAATAGTTCCTTCAGCTATTGACAATTGCGGTGCTATATCAAAACTTCTCTAAGAACAACAACTTATTGATGTTTTTCCAAATGTACATATTGCATTGGGATTATACCTGACAATACCGTTAACAAATTGTGAAGCAGAACATTCATGTTCAAAGTTGGCTTTAATTAAAAATCGACTAAGATCTACACAGATTGAAGGTAGGTTGAACGCATTAACGATTATGTCAATTGAAAATGACATATGTAAAAAACTTTCCTTTGATGACGTTTTAGATATTTTTGTATCAACTAAATCTAGAAAAAAAATATTTTAAATAATCATTTGATTGTATTTTTGAGTTATTTTTATATTATCATATATTTTATATTTTAACATTTAACTAAATTGTATTTTTTAAATAAATTAACTATGTAATGTGAATTTGCCGTCTGAAAAAAAAATATTTTTCTTATTTAACTAATAAATATCAATTGGCATATTATTACAAAAATACTTTTTTTTTGTAAAATTATGGCCCCAAAAATAAATTAGCCCAGGGCCACATCTCAAAAATCCGACTATGTCAAAAGGTATTTTCAAATTCTTTAATCATACATTGTGGTAGTAAAACCATACCAAATATTCAAATGTTTTAATATGCTATGTGTACATGTAATTAAGTCTGAATTCGAACCTATACGATCGCTTCTCCCCTTAAATGACGAGCCTGATTATTGGTTCCCACATAACATCAGTTAATTTATCATATTTATTATTTTCCAAATATCAAATAAAATATACTTTATCTTTAATATAAATGTATTATAATAATATTACAAAATATTACAAAATACTCTTGTAATATTATTCACACATTATGTATTGTTAAAAATGATCGGATGCAACATTGTCCATAAGTACCAGTGCATTTTTTAACTAGTTAAATAGGCGACACAAATGTCGTCCAGTGATTACACTTTGTCGACAGTATTTTAAAATATTGGGTGAAATAATGCGAAACAAACGGATAATACTATAATCGTACTATGGTATTATACATTGACTATTTTGAAAAAAAACATTTTTTAGTCGCCCAGTGAAAATTCCTTATAAAATTCACTGATAAATACACACTATACACTTATAAATACCTCATGATCAGTGCCGAGTCTAGGTTTCAAAAGGTCCGAGTGTAAATACTAATTTGAGGCCTCTTAAAAAAAACTTTTGTTTTTTTTTGTACGCCACTTTCAAGTATACGATAGAAATTTTGATTTATAAATTCACCAATAAAAGTTAAGTCGAATAAAGTTGAATGAAATACAATAAATATAAAATAAAAGCACGAAAAAAACAAAAATAATGGAATATATTCCTACATGTAATCTTAAATTTAAAATTTCAGTTTTAGAGGCCCCTAAGAACTTGAGGCCTCGGTGCATTACACCCATCTCTACAACCCTCAAAAAATGCAACACCGCTAATGATATTGTAAGTAGTTTATAGATGTAGGTATCAATATTACTGAAAACTGTTTATGATGGTAAAATTAATTAAATCAAATTAAAAAATTGTAATATACTAAACACACAAATATAATCTACTTAATATATAACGAGCATACTTGTTCATGCATAGCGCCATTGCAGTGATGACTTTTTGTGGTTCAACTAGATGTATATATTTTTGTCTGTGATGGGAAATGTTATAGATGACGAGGACACCAGACGCAGGGTAGACGATTTCATTTTCATTGAGAAATAGACAATTGCCATTTACTTTAGTTGTAAGACCGAATAAGAATTTCGGTTTTAAAGTAGGTATTATAGGTGGTGACATGATAGAGTACCTAGGCTTAATGAAAAAAACTATTGGCTTCGATTACAAAATTTAATCAGTATCAATTAGATGATAATTAACGAATAGGTATTAAATTTATAACAAGCTATCAATTTATAAAATCGACAAATCAAGTTATTATAAAATTATATCAGTAAACGGTGTACGAAATAATGAAGACAATAAAAATGTATACTGTTAAATCAATTTGTTTCTTCCAGTTGCTACGATACCATTGAAAAAAATAAATTATTGTTTTTCAGTTTTTTCTTTAACGATAAAAACATATTAAGATCATGCACTTTTTTTTTCTGTGAAAATCTCTTTTTATTTAAGTAGGTATAGATAAAATGTGTAGGTACGTTGTCAAATGCGATTAAATGTTCAAAATGAGATTTGGCTTTTTGGTTATAATTTTGTATGAAACCATGATACCAAAATACCATGATATAATAAAAAGTTTATTATATCATGATAAATACTACCTATATCTGTGCTTAACTTCGGTTTAATAAACCAACCTACTATAATATTTTTATACCATAGTTGATATTGAAGGGTTGATATCTGTCTTATTATTATATCCTGTGGTTTTTGTTGTGTTTGTGTTTTATGAACAAAATAAAACACTGAAATAATTAGGTAACTAATTAACGAAAGTTAATTAGTGAATAACAGATCACGGCTGTATCAAGTGATGACAATTAGAGAGTGAGCAAGAATGGTCGTTGCTTATACACATTTTACACACACACATACACATGCGTTTTAGCAACAGTGATACCATAACAGTTTTATCATAAAGTAGGTAATATATATTTAAATATATCTTACTATACGGGTTTACACGACCGCACAGTGGGATAGAATAAAACTTAGGTGGCCAAAAATTATTTTAAAAATAACGATTTTAATTAAAATTATCATCTATTATAAACAGTATACAACCATATTTATCATAAATTCAATAAAAGATTAGATTTTATGGGTTCGTTTATCTGTGTTTAAGATTATAACAATCTATCGAACGCGCATTTCACTCATTTTATCGAGTTGTATGCGTGTGCAATAAATTCTGATTTTTCTTAAGAAATCAAATTAAATAATTATAAATTTACATGAACATTATTTTCATGAATATGGAAATTGAAGGTAAATTCATAATTTTGACAAATTTCTATTTTTAGTATAAAGTATGCAAATTATAAATACGTTTTGAGTAGATTTAAATGGTGTTATCAAATTTAAAGGGCTATAACATCTAAGTTTCAAAAGGTTTCATAAATATGAAATATAGTATTTATAGGACAAGATATTATTGTTTTAATGATATCAATTTTACGTGCATCCATCTGCCACTTTATTTACTACGAATTTTTTTTGTAGGTGAATCGAGTATTAAAAATACTAGTCATACTAGTCTATACACGTATAATGATTTGTTTAATTTATTATGAAAAAAAAAATAATATTTAAAACCTACATATTCCGAATCAATTCGATATATATTTAATATTTTAAAAGAAAATCACATTGTTAGTAAATGGGATTCAGATTATGAAGCAAAAGTAAAATCAAAAACTTTACCGTTACTTTATCGAAAAAATGGTTAAAAAAATAATCGAACTTTAAATAAATTCTTAATTAATAATGAAAAATGGCTTAAAACCGAATTTAAATTACCAGAAGATGTCTTTTAAATATTTCTTAATCTCGTGGTCGTCCAACTAAAAGTTTTACAGAATGTTTTGATCGAACAAAACGGCGAAAAACCAAAAAACTATTGAGTAATTTTGCTTCACCGGAAATTCGGTTTGCTGTACGAAGTAATTATTATAGATCAGGGAAAAAAAGTGCAGCTCAACTGGTAAAATAAATGTCTCTAACGCCAACAAGAAGTAAAAAAATAAAAACAGCTTATGTAAAAACAATGAAAAATAAAAAACCAAGACCGTATACACCTGACGAAGCCTTAGCTTTTATAATTGATAATCTTATGAAGGCTCAATACATTACCTAGTATTCGAATAATTGCTAAACACCGAAATGCAAATATTTATCCAGAGTATGAAAAAATTAAAATAACGAAAAAAAAATGTTATCCAGAAAATATATCAGTCAGTTAATCGCATTGTCGTATACTTCTTTAAGATCTTTTAGACCATTCGACAAAACGTATTTTTCATATTCCAAATATAAAATCCATAGAAAATAATTTTATACAATTTGAAATGTTATACAAATGGGGGTGTGATGGGTCTAGTGGTCAAAGTCAATACAAACAAGACTTTTTATTGGATGTTACGAGTGACAGTAATATATTTTTTTTCAATCGTGCCAATAATTTTAAGAGGTTCAACTACGAATAGTAGTAGTAATAAAATACTATGGGAAAATCCTCGTAAATCATCAACCAAATTCTGTAGACCAATTAAATTTTTGTTGAAAAAAGAAACACCAATAACTACAGTCGAGGAAATCAATGCTGTTGAACTTCAAATAAAATCATTAAATCCTACTCATATCGTCTACAATAATATGAACATTTATATAAAACATACTCTAATATTTTCGATGATAGATGGCAAGGTGAATATGATAGTTTCAAAAATATAGTAAAATTGAATGTTAAAATATATTAAATTCTTGTTTTGTTTAGGTATGTAATAAAATATCTTATTCATCTAGTCAAAGATGCTATATTTGCAATTGTACCCCGAAAGACATGAATGACTTAGGTAATCTAGCAAAGTATAAAACTAGACCAGAAACATTAAAATTTGGTTTATCAACGTTACATTGCTGGATTAGGTTTTTTGAATGTTTGCTTCACGTATCATATCGCTTGGATTTTAAATCATGGTAGGTAAATACATAAATAATCATATTCATAATTAGTGTAGTCATATTTTAAATTATTTTAAACACAAGGTTCGGTCAACTGAAAATAAAGTGTTGCTTGCTGAACGAAAAAAAAATAATACAACATCGATTCAGAACAGATATGGGATTACTGGTGGACATTGTTTTGAAAGGTAAACTTTAAGTTTTATAATTCGTACAAATTTTAACTACTATTAGATGTACATTAAAAAAAAAAATATTATAAATATAGATAGAAGAACTACTAACGATGGTAATACTGCAAGAACATTCTTTCAAAACGCGGAAATTAGTTCAGAAATCACCGGTATAGATTTAATATTAATTAATAAATTTGACACTATCTTGACTGCTATGGCCAGTGGATATGAAATTAATGACCAAGAGTTTGAAAAATATACTATTGATAAGGCAAAATTATTTGTTTTACTTTATCCGTGGTTTTATAGGCCACCCTCCGTGCATAAGATTTTAATACATGGAGCTGATGTTATTCGCACTTCGATACTGCCAATAGGTAATTGTTATATTGTATTTAAATTCTATCTTGTTTGAACAGTTAATGAATATTGCCTATGTTATTACTAATATAAAGGACAATTATCAAAAGAAGCACAGGAAGCTCGAAATAAAGAGTTTAATAAATATAGAGAGCATAACACTCGCAAAAATTCGAGAGTGAATACAAACGAAGACCTCATGCATGTTCTACTCATATCATCAGATCCTTACATATCTTCCCTGAGAAATTATCGTCAAAAAAAAAAAAATCGTCATTTTCTGTAGAAGTTCTGTCGTTATTAATTTTAAAAGTAGATGATATCAATATTGGGGATCACAGTTCTTCGAGTGATAGTTACGAAACATAAGCTGATACCGATTGTAATTAATTTAATCATAAACATGTATTACTAACAATAAAAACTTCAAAATTACAAGGTCCGTTACATTAGCACCACCATATTCAAAATTTGAAAAAAAAAATATACCAACGATTGTTATTTCATTTGTACACATTTGTAATCCTGGTATAAACATTTGTACACCTCCCCAAATGCCCCAAAAAACCAAATTTCCGCGGTGGTGCTAATGTAACGTTACATCAGCCCCCCACTTTTTGTACAGTTGACTTATGGCTTCCAAAATGGTACCAAC